AAGTGTTTCTGGCTCAGCTATAGAGTTTGCTTCCTCATTCCCACATGCACTGTTCGGGCGGCAACCTTGGGATGCCGGGGTGTCGGTCTGATTCTTTGTCCTTTTAGTCTATTGAAGGTATTTTAATTGGATCGAGTGGAGAAAAAAACAACCCAAAACACATACACAAACCCCAAGGCTTCAGGACTAGACGCCCCTTCCCCCCAACAACAAATGGTTAAATAAATAACGGCATGCCAAACCAACCATCACCAAACGAATAAGCCAAAAATCAGCCTCAGCACCGCAGGAAACGGGAAAGTTTCTGCGCTCTGAAGCTGGCCCCGTGGTACCGCGCGTAAAGGTAAGAATCCCGGGGGAGGGGAGCAGAGCGCGGCCCCAGCCCGGTGCCTGCGGGAGCCGGGGCCGCACCGGAGCGCCCAGCCCTGCATCCCGGAGCGCCAGCCCGAGAGATGCTGCTGCGACTTGGTTCTGCGCTGGGAAATGAACGGCTCCGAGCCCCCACCCCCGTCTCCTCCCTCCCTCTTCCTCCTCCTCTTCCTCCTCCTTCTTTCTCTTTCTCCTTCCTTCTTTTCTTCTCCTTCTCTTCTTCTCCTCCTACCTCTTCCCCTTCCCCTCCCCATTCCCCCTCTCCCTCTCTTTGTCTCTCCCTTTCCATCTCTCATTTCCTCCTTCCCCTTCCCACTCTTCTTCCCTCCTTCTCTGCTCTCCAGAAATGCCTCTGATATGTCTCAAACCGCTCCTCCTGTGCCTCATAGAAAATAAATCCACGGGCAAGCACTGTAAGTGATCCCGTGGTGCAAAGTGGAGAGCTCAGGGCACCACGGAACAGGAATTAGCAGCTTTAAGTGGCACGTCCATCTCTTTTCCCTCTCGCGCAGATGTTAAACCACAGTTAAGTTTCCCGTTCCCAGCAGCAGCCATGAAGGTTTTTGAAGGGATGTGCCTAAGAGACGGTACCTTGTACAGAGGGTCCCGGACCTGGAGTGTCCGCCTGGCACCCCCAGCTCCGCGGGCTGGGCAGCGAACGGGGCGGCACACGAAGCTCTGCTGGACCGGCGGGTGGAGACGCTCCGGATCCCCACGAGCCTCGCTCCACTCTGGTCTCCAGCTGTGCTAATAAGTACGCTAATAAATCTCCCACACATTTCCTCCCTGGCCGTCCCCGTCCCCCCCCCCGAAAGTCTGCTTGCTGTAGCAAAGGCTCCTTGGGCTTTGGCTGTTTCGGAGAACGGCTGGAGCACGGATGTCCAGGGACAAACTCTGGAAGTTTTCAGAATGGGAGGATTCTGTGAGCTAAGAGCCTCCCCAGCAAAGCTCTTTTCGAGGCTTTTCTGCTGGAAGTTGTGTTTGTTCCCTTATGTTAATTGTTCCTCTGATGGTAGCCGGCTGCCGGCACTGGGTTAGACCTGAGATACTCTGAGCAGAGTGCTCCCACCGGGTGTGCTGTGCCAGCGCTCCAGCAGCGGTTCTGGGGGATCTGCTGAGCAGTATTTCACCCTGTGCAAGGGCCCACGGGGACCCTCAGCAAGACAACCAGCACAGCACAAAACAAACAGCGGCCTGTGACGCCTCCCCTCAGGAATCTTCCTTTCTCCCTTTGCATTTTATTAGGGAGATGTTCCCTCACAGCTCTTTTCCCTCTATTCCGGTACTGTCATGTGTAGAGCCGAAGACAAGACACCTACTCCTGGGTTAATCTGAGGTGTGGAGTGCTCAGCAGCTGGCAGGAACAGGCCAGTTCTGGTGTGCAGTCCTGTCCCAATTCCTGCTGCCGCCCCACCTTTCCGAGGTAAACATTGACCACTTCTTCTTATTCTCCACCATGGTCAAGACTGACTAAAATAATACAGAATCCCCGAATCCTTCAGGTTGGAAAAGCCCCTTGGGATCAGCGAGTCCAACCCTCAGCCCGGCTCTACAGAGTTCTCCCCTACCCCACATCCCCCACAGCTCATACCAACAGTCCTTAAACACACCCAGGCTTAAGACCAACAAAAGTACAGCTCCATAGTTTGAAGGCATGGAAGATTTTGGGCTATATTACTCTGGACACAATCCAGGAGAATCATGAAACCTTTCTGCATGCCTGGCTGAGACCCCTCCTACAGCAGAGCAATAAGATGCTGGGGGACACTGTCACCCCCCATCTGTGGACTGTCCCTGGAGATCCCCTCCTCCCATCCCTCTGAGGGGTACGGTCACTCCCGGGCAGGTCTCAGAGGGAAGATTGTAGTACGTGGTCCTTAGTGTCA